AGAGAATTGATATAAAAAGTCAATATTTCTGTTTTCATGTCCGGAGATGTACCGTAATGAGTGATGCAAGAAAACAGCTAATTGCCACAATTGTACAGCAAACCATGAATAAAGACAGATGAATTTCAAGCTTATAAGAAATCATTCGATTAATATTTAAACGGCTGCTCTGGGGCTGACCTTTCTGTCCTCTAACGCTCCTCAACGGACAAATTAAAACCTAGCTCTATGATTGATGTGGAATAATTATATATCAATCGGTGACAGTCCACTACGTACGCGATCAAAATCCTTACTACATTAGCAATGAAACAAGAAACATATTAATCATAAACAATTAGTTTTGATTGTCTGTGTACTTGTCAAGTATCAAAAAGTAACACGAAGCTGGGCACAAAAAGTTAGGTATCACTTTTAAAGATTAATGTATTTGTTTAAGAAGTTAAAAAAACGTTTGGAAAATGAAAAACAAGTTTGTAGTAATTGGTTATTATTCCAAACGTTTAATCTAAGTTTAAGGCATAATACTGTTATTTCAAATTTTATCAACGAATTAAAAAAGTACAGGGGTATGCTGCATGTAAATTACGGAATATTAGGTATATATCAGATTTATATTAGTGAGATGTAACAAGGAAAATATATCTTAATATTCTTGGGTCATTCTTTGAAGGCGAATATACTCCCGCTGTTAACTTGGTTAATTCAACAGGAAATATTGTCACAGTATTGTGTCATCCACTTTAACATAGACCAGGGATATGGGGTAATTTTTACGAGAGAAAAGAAATAGGGCAGCGCGTGATAATATTCTGTTATCCCTTTCAAGAAGTGAAAATATTACCTAAGTCATTTAATTGCATTCACTGAATATGGAACCAGGTAATTTATTACAATGTTATATAACAAGCGAGGCGTGTCATTATTCTTGTGTAATTTTTCAACGTTACGGGATAATTAATTGTATCAAATTATATTAAATTATTAAATCATTATACATGTTGATTAATTAATTAATTATACTATAGCAAAGACTGTAGGACCTGATATTCATTAGTCCATTTTAAACGTTAAAGTTTAAACCTGGGTCTTTTTTGCTTGTACAGCAAGGAATCTGCGTCAACATTCTTCGATTCAGATTTTTTAAATATGAAAGCGGATGATTTAACATATTAATTAAGAAAGGAATGTGAGTCATAATATTCTGGGGGCCTTCTTCAACGTTGAAGATGAAATAAGAACAATTGATACGATTTACACTATCCAGGAATGTTCGACATAGTGCTTGGTGTTCTCCTCCAACGTTAAATTTGACATTTGATCCAATAATGAATAATTGTTTAGGGACCCACGGATCAAGACAAACGTTAATGTAAATACAGAGGTGGGATACTTGTTATTGATTTCAATCAAATGTAACTTTAATTATGGCGAAGGGGTCACAACTGTTTCAAGGTTTCGATCCCAGGAATTTCGATCAAAGGTATATGAAGTTATAGGGTGTGTGTTTCAACTGTTATCACGCCCTGACCCCAGGTAAAGACCCCATGACGATTCCTGGATCAATTCTTTTGTCATGTGTGTATCTATCTCTTCATGCCAAATAAATATTTATCCTACAACTGGCACCGCCATTGTCGGAATACACATATATTTTTGCTGTATTCTGCAGTGACGGAAAACATCTGTATTTTAGCACGTGCGTTTATTAGACAGAATTACTTTCTGAATTTAATTTAAAATGACTATCAACAATATCAATCAATATTTATCATTTATTAATACTTTATTTTGGCTTTTGTCACCAGGGGCAATATTCTGCGTAACGCCAATATCAGGTAAACAAAGAGTGAACACCAAAACTGTCGAAGTATTGATGGTCTGATTTTCAATCAACGTTGCAGGATAAATAGAACTTAAAGTCAGTGTTTTAAAATATTGAGCTGCATTTTGGCTCCGTACAGAAAGTGGCTCGCCACTTTTTCCTTTCTTCAATCTCGACAAATACAGCTGATGATTTAAGACACTGACCACGTATTATCTATATGTGTGCTTATAGGGTGGAAATCTCGACTGTTTCCACGAATACAACTCCAGGGTAAGGTTCCAGGGCTAAGGATGATCCATGGGTCAATTCTTAAGCCATATGTGTTTTCGCCTCTGCATTATCAAGAAATGTCCATTTTAAATGACCGGAGAGACTTTCTGATAGTTGAGCAATTGAATAGAAATTTAATATAACGATCAATGATATGTTGGAGCAGTTTTAAAATTACCTGGTAAGTATTTAAAATTGTGTTTGTTCAGTGGAAAATTGTATAAGGACACGTAAATGAATAGCACCTGTTAATGCAAATTAAGAGTTAGATACAGTGATCATACAGCTGTTTCGTCCTTCTAGGTCTCCTCAGTGATGCTACATCATACAGCTGTTTCGCCCTTCTAGGTCTCCTCAGTGATGCTACATCGTACAGCTGTTTCGTCCTTCTAGGTCTCCTCAGTGATGCTACATCATACAGCTGTTTCGTCCTTCTAGGTCTCATCAGTGATGCTACATCATACACTTTGTCCTTCTAGGACTCGGCAGTGATGTTATATAATACACCTGTTTCGTCCTTCTAGAACTCGTCAGTGATGCTATATCTAAATTTTGTCCTTCTAGGACTTGTCAGTGATGTTATATCATACAGCTGTTTCGTCCTTCTAGGACTCGTCAGTGATGCTTCATCATACAGCTGTTTCGTCCTTCTAGGACTCGTCAGTGATGTTATATCATACAGCTGTTTCGTCCTTGTAGGACTCGTCGGTGATGTTATATCATACATCTGCTTCGTCTTTCTAGGACTGGCGTTTATATTGAGCCATTCTGAGGTCACGTGACCCGCCGAAAGGAACTGCGTAATAAAGTATTTAGAAGCCTTTAACAACCACAGGTCACAGTAAGATGTGCGGAACATTGCCATTTGAAAAGATGATAATTAAAATCGTAGCATTCATTGAGTTGACCTAGTTTCCTGGATGCTTCTTGTAATGCGTCTGTATGAACTGACCGATTTTTCTTTGTAAACATGTGATTTATTTACCCCCTATCTTTTGCATTTCGATTTGTATTTCAGTGATTTCCTTTTTCTCTCTAAAGATTCACTTACAGTGCCATATAAATATATCTATTTTCATTGTTCATTTAGTTTTTTAAACATTCCTTGTAATTGATATATAGTTTTTCCATTGTATAATCATCTCATTGTTTTGATTATGTATAGATGTTCTCATACTTATGTTTATACATTATATATATATATATATATATATATATATATATTAGAGAGAGAGAGAGAGAGAGAGAGAGAGAGAGAGAGAGAATAAATCACTTAACATGACAAACAAATATATCACTAACGTTTTCAGGCCTCGCGGCCATCTTCAGGTGATTAGATTACATGTACACTGTACGTTACTCAGTAACCTACATTGTGACGTTAAGTTATTGTATATATATATATATATATATATATATATATATATCTAAGAGTACTATACATTTTTACTTACATTTTCTTTTTTGATTCCATCATTGATTTTGGTTTTTAATATTGCAATAATTCTCTAAACATTCGTTATATTATATGTGAAGGACATTTATTAGATTACTGATAACATCTTTATTTGACGCAAAAGTTTCAACAACAATTTTATAATAAATGGGCTTCAGGCGATATTTTACCAGATATGTTATTGTTGGAGCAATCTGCATCACTGACTATATAAAGCTAAATCTTACGATAAATTACGAAATATTTTCCTCCGTTACTTCCAAGGTTTCATAATTTGGGCTCTTAGAATCAATGACTCTGGAAACAGCTGCAATGCCAGACGCGGTTTAATTAATTGTCCGGCTCTACACTATCTAACTGTGAAAAAAAGAAAATATTTTTCACTTGAAAATCTTGGTCAATTTAAGTAAGTAATGTCACGTTCTCAAAAAGAGAACAAGGTAAAGAACAACGTAACAAACAGACAAACGCACGAGTATCCCACACGTCGAGCTTCATATCATACAACGAAATAGAATATTTTTCAATGAGATAACTATGACGACTGTAATTTTCATCAACCTGCATCTTTTGAAACCATGTGTCACAAATGTTTTCGTTAATTAATGACTAAGTCTTGCACAATGGGAACATAAAATCATCAAGTTGTATTAAAGGTGCTGTTCACTTGTGTGTCTAGTCCTGCGCACATGTACTTGACAACCAATCAATACTCCAAGCAAACAGTAATGGTGTCACATGGCTTTAGGTAATATACATATAGACATCTATGTCAAGTACGGCAAATGTGCTTTAAAGCTGCACGGACAAGAGCGTCAATGACCATGATTTCATCATTGTTTTTATCTTCACGTGTACAATGGTTAAGTTATTTTGTTTTTTTTGTGATATTCGTATTTAGCCGGAACGCAAATGGAGCGATTTACCTGACTAGAAAATGCATTTGATTACTGTATGAACGCTGATTAGAAAAATGACATGCTCTCCGGTTTCAAATGCATGTTTTAGTCATTAAAACAATTATATGTTGAAGTTCTATAAGAAGATCTCGAGTGTGCTTTTTAACTGCAAAAAGAGTATTCTCCGATTGAAATATATATCCATGATTGACATATATATACTCATGACATGAAACACGAATGCGATGTTCTTTACTGAAGAACTGTGTTGAGGAGCTACATATTATTGTCTTAGTTCGGATTCCAGATTTTGTTAAGTAGAAATAACAGTAGGTAATTTACGTAGATAAAATGTTTTTCACGACTGTAACGGAGACTTTGCCACCCTGGCTTTCACAAAACGGACTACGGTCCAATCAAACTCTTTTATAGCTCTGGATGATGCTTGTTAGCAGCACTCGATAACAGGCGTATTTAATCTGTATCTAGAAGTTTAAATGTCTAAAGGCGCATAGTCGTATTGGTACCTTCACGTGCTTCAGTCAAGATGTCTATTTGTCTTTCTTTCAATAATTCTGAATCTCGATTCGGCGTCAACCGAGGAATCCCACACGAGGAAGCATTTGGATTAATAACGGGTTTTGGAGTCTTTGCTTTCTGCATTGGATGTTTCTCCAGTTTTATTCGGAGAGTTGTGTACCACGACAAGGTATGTGAGCAATGTTTCATAGCATCCATGGCCAAGCCATATCATTGGTGCTGTAAAATCTTTATTTTCTTAAGCAATTTAGTTATGGATAACGTTATGCTTGATAATTTCATAAAATGTATCCCAGTGATATGTTGGACGATATCAATGTTTGCATTTTTTATGTGAAGGACGAGAATAGGAAAATGACCAATATTGTTGGTATTGTGTTGTATTGTTTAACGTAGAATTTAAAGACGGCCTCCCTCTGTTTGCGGAGGTGATATGTTTGTCAAATGGATATTTAAATTGAACTTAATTATCACATTACTTTACAAGTTGTTTTAGTTTTGCTAATTTTGGTACCTTAATATTGTTCCCCATTTTTTCGCATATCGTTTTTGTTCCTAATGTCTTCCATTGCCTTCAGTTGATTTCAGGGACATATGACCTTACATACTCCGCGAGGACGCCCTGAATTGACTCCAGACGTTCAGCAACCAAGCCAAACCTACCGGCTATATCTGTATGAAAAATTGACCCATTATCCTATCTTTAATAAATTCTAGTAATTGCCATTTGTCGTTTGCCATTGCCAATAAAGATTGGCCAGGTTGAGTGTCTAGTTGTGTCAGTGTGATAGCACTAAACGTACAAAATCGGCATCTGTGACACGCTTTTACAAGAAACGCTTTCGCGATTATATCGTTACCAGAATCCTTGAACTTAGCTTGTATACACGGAAGGATATCGTAAAATGAATCCGGACGTTAATAAAATGTTTTGTTTGCTATTGCTTGCACGGGGTTTAATGTGCTCGAAATGGCCCCAGGGTCATGTGAGGAGAGTGAAAAGATTGCAGGTAGGAATAGCAGATCAAAAGAAAGAAAAAGATTGAGAGCCCGAAGACAGGGAAATAGTAAACTAAAACATCCAACTTATCCTTTAGATTTCCACTCATTTTTTGAGGGAGATGAATCAAGCATACGATACTTCCTAGAATATGGGAAACCCTGCGCGAGATTAAGCATCGTTGATACGTCAAAGAAAAATGGGAAACCCTGCTCAAGATCAAGCATAATTGATAAGTCCTAGAAAATGAGACTCCCTATTCAATATTAGGCATCATTGATATGTTCTAGAAAATGGGACACCAGGTTTTCTATGTTTTTAGTCCAGGTAAGCCTGGTTGTAGAATGACGAAGATGCTGTATGACGCTATTAATTCATTACCTGTCATGAAATCGATGACAATTAAACACAAATCACGAATTTTCAGATACAACTTAAACGAAATTCGTTGACTTGAAAATTCTTAAATCGTAGGCGTATCTTTAATAATGAGTTTAAAGTTTAGTTTATTTTGTGAATTTTTCATCATTTTCATTTAAGGACGGCCTCCCTATGTCAATGAAGTGCAAATTTAAAAAGAATTTGGTTTGGAAGGTTGCTTGACGTTTTGTGTAAGCCGCAGAAATTATAGTGCTATTAAACTGAAGTATACTGTCGATGGTCCAAAGCAGAATTTACTTTTTTTTCTACTCACAGTGTCTGTCTTGTTACCAGTCTTTACATGTCCCTATCTGTTGCAAAGACTTTAAACCCCGAAACTGATCAAAAAGGAAAAGTGAAATTAAGACGATGGGAACTACATGGGTTTGAATGAGCACATTATACAATGAGAAATACATCTGCAATGTCTAACATGTTTAAAACAATCTTTTATGATTGAATTTTTTTTCTATATTAATATTTATCTTAAAAAAAAAAACAATTTATTTACTTTAAAACATAATCAATAAATATGCCTTTCTGTTAACCTGACACGAATAAAAAAATAAGTCTGATCAAAATTTCATTAAACTGATTTTGTTTTCTTCTGTACTAAACCATGTCTACAGAAAAGGAACTTATTTATTGACGATAAAATCAAGATGCCTTATTTGTGTTTATCTGACTACAGCACAGAAGTCATAACATCCGGACGGTCGCTGTTACTGCTAATGAAGCGTTGTCTCAGATTTATCTTTGCAGGCGGGTAATTCTCTCTACTTTCAACAACTGTTCTTAAAAACAATGTAATTAACCTGTCTTATCAGAGATAATAACTGCTAAAATTAGTTTTGCATTCGGTAAAATATGCTATATTCAACTGATACATTACTGATATCTTCAATGCAATTACCTGTAACATGAAATGATAGTATGCAATTATTATATCAGTGTACTGGTATGTTTACAGTTAAGATAATTCTTGTTTGGTCTATCAATTACAACTAAAAATATTCACTTTCGCCATTATCCCTGAAACAACCTATATAGCTAACGCGGCGTTGGACAAAGCGCAAGAGTTTATGACATTAGACATCAACGACAGTGGACACGTTAATGAGGCATTTACTGTGTTCTGACTGTGATTTGTGTTTTATTGATTATTATATACATACGGCGCGTGCTACCTCGAGATAGTACCATTTTATATAACCTTCCTTCCGGGTCCAAAGTTATTGGTCGTTATTTTTACAAGCTGAACGCAAACCCTTTAACAAGCAATGCACACTTCCTGATGTTTAAGATATTAAAGTAATATATAGCGGCTGGTTAATCATTAAGTATTAGATGATTCACTATGGGTTCGGATCAATATCTTATATGAAATTCCTCTAGATACACAATAAGCAAACGTAAAACTTAATTGTATGTAACACTTTTTCAACACTCAGGATATAAAAAACCTAAGATTTTGAGTTGTATGTCCATTGCATAAATTCTTAAAAAAAAAACGTCAAAAATATATGAACAATATTTCTTCCTTTGTCTTTTTTCATTTTGTTTTCAAAGTTATAATCTTCCTTACGGCTCACATAGTGCTGTTTTCCTTTCGCCTCATGGAAGATTGCCATTCTGCTGGAAAGCTGAATGTTCTGTTATTTTACCAAATCTGTAAAGATTGATGAAATTTTAATTTAAGATGACCTGGTGAGGTTTCTTCATACCGTGTTCGGAATATATTGCAGTACGATGATACCATAAAGGCAACATTGAGTTTCCCAACACAGTTTGACTAGTATTTCTTTATCATCGTTTAAAATTTAACAAATGGCTCTAAATTCATAATTATGTCGATATCGTTAAAACATCGATATTTTTATTTACCCTTAACCACTATGAAACAATATTAAGTACGTTTCAGAGATAGCTGACTAGCTGAAAGATCATAGGTTTCAGGAAATGTGAAACTATTTTATAAAATAATGTTTCAATTTGCACTAGCGCTAACACACAGAGTTTACTTGATGACGATTTATAGTATACAATGCATGTCCAATGAGCAAGTGATTAGCACTATTTAATACACCTATTTTGATACGATGCTGTTGCAAATAGAAAAGATACAGTTTAGCCAAAAAAATTAATCAGCATCATACACTTGTTTCGTCCTTCTAGGAGTTGTCAATGATGCTGAGAATCTAAATTTTGAAAAATTGGAAGCAACTGAGAAAAATCCAGTGTTAATCGAAAGAAATGTAAACTTCCGAATCAGTACATTTTGCAATTTTCATATATATGATAACGTCAAGTACATGTTTATATTCTGAGCCTTGCCACGCTTCAAATGAATTAAAACGCATACAAGTAATGCAAATTCTGAGGTTGAACCATTTACATCAGTTATCATAATCTCTTTTATTTAGGTCAATGTAAGTCGGCCATTTTCTTATGATATTGGTTCCTGCCTTTTCTTATTTCTTTGTGATATTTTTCGACATGAAGCAAATGCAAAACGGAACTCGATTATTTATTTCTCGGCATTTGTAGCGCTCTATATTAATTAGGGTTGGGGAAAAGGGAATTTCAGTGTTTGGTAAGCTTAATTCCATATCATACGTCAGATACTATAATTGAATAAGCAAATAGAACACTCACTGCTGAGTCAAGATTAACTTCTGTTCATACTGAGGAAACATTGAAAAGACCAAAATAGATTTGACCCCAATGGAAAAAAACAGAACATTGGACTTTTCCTTTGTACGTTTCATCATGCATACTTAGTTCCATGCTTGACACAATGGCTGTTGAGAGGACGCTAAACCTAGTTTCAAACATGTATTGGCACAAGTGTATCTTCAGACATAAGTGATGTGAGATATCTCTAATGGCATCGACGTCTTTCTGAACAATAAGTCAGGAGTAGAAAACATGGAAATGGATGTTATGACCAAACATGCAAATAGACCTTATCATAATCTGACTGATCCGTTGATTTCCAATTCAAAGACCAAAACATATTTTTGTTTCTTGACTTCATCTTCTTACCGGTAACTCGGATGTTTTTACAAGTGTATTAAACAATATCAATATATCGATGCGTTTATTTTCTTAAGTCAATTCTCATTGTCATAGACTGTAAAAATTGGAACGGATTTCTATAGATTACGAGGAGATGGTCATTGTTTTGAAGTATGCTTGTACTTGCCCTTACTAAAGAAATCGAATTAATTTAGCAAAGATCGCATTACCGGGTTTTGTTGTTAGAGAAGAGCACGATATTGCAATATTTTTTTGAACACCTGAATTTAAAATGCTAACTAGGACGTCTTTTTATCTTGTTATTTACTAAAAAAAACCGTATTCAGTTGCGCTGTGTGTCAGCGTAACCCTAGCCATGCATGTACATCGTGATTTTTTCGTTGTATAGCGCCGTTCGGGAAGCTTTTACATTTCCGGCCTCGAACCCAAAGTGTCAGCATGACCTCGATTAAGTATAGCCATCGCGTTGTACGCACCATACTGCATCCGTCAAATTTTGTTTTGCCACTTTCAACTTCTCACTAACTTTCGTTAAAAAATCTTAATTAACAACTTGATTTAATGATATATTGAATACATTCATAAACAGTTTTCTTTTGGAAATAAATTATTAGTTTAATTTTTAATCAAACTAAAATTTCTTCAAAGAAACCCATCCCTATGGCTATCTTGAACCCCTTGGATTTCTTTTATGTCTAGGTGTTCAGCAATTTTTGACATTACCCCTGAATCAATGTTTTCAATTCAAATTCAGCAATCAAAATAACATATACGATGAAAGGTGCTTATAATGAATTATTCCATAAACCATCTAGTAGTATATTTGTTCCAAAGTAACATCACGTTACTCACTGTTCCCAATGCATGATTTGGAAGAGGCGACGAAATTTGGGACGCGTTCTTTTATTTTTCTCTATAACATATGTTTCTCTAGACACTCTCACTTTAGAACTTTACCTGGGCATTCGACCAAGTAAAGGAGATTTTAGCTTTGGTTCCTTGACAAAGACAAGCCATAGTCTTCAAAATCTTAGTTACTAGTCTTTACGAAGCTCTCAGCATCGTGTTTGTGTAACGACTGTTAGTAGTATGATACGAGGTAGTGACGAGCATACTGGTTAAGTATTCTTAGGTATCATGGCAGTGTAGAGTCTGCTTCATTTCCACGCTATCACAAGAAGGCTTTCACGAACATATCCAAATCTTTCAAAAACTCTTTCATTTCGCTCTCATACAAAAGTAGATCTCATCAAACTACAAATATTGATAGGATGTGAATCGGTATAAAATCAAAATGAAGACGGTTTCTCAAGTGGTTCCTTGCTGAAATATTGTGTCCAGAACATTACTTTGTCCGATTTAAACTAGTATATTGAAACGTGATATTTAGATCAGTCTTACAAAAGCAGTATGCAATGAAGGAAAGTTAGGTCATATGAACCCGCAGTACAGTTTTATTGTCTTTTGTTAATTTTTTTGTAATAAGCAAAGCTTTTCTTGCATTAATATCATGATCATTTGAAACTTTGTGTATTCATTGATCATACTAATGAGATGTTTAGTATACCATAGAATTTATTATTTTTACAGAGACTCTTGTTTTTAATATATTAACTATTCCTTTTGACAGAATTTGCTTGATGTGGCATTTGACGCAGGCGGAAAAGTCAACGTCGGTCTGACATCGACCACCATCGTTTCTCAATGGACTTGGGCGGCAACCTTGTTACAGTCATCGACTGTCGCCAGTAAGGTAAAGTTGGCTTGTTAAGCAAAACGGTATAATTGTCATTTGCCCCAAGTTCCTTGATGCCAGCGCAATGTATGTCGTTATCGTTGTTCTAATACAGATGTCGAGATGAGTTTGTGCTTGTCTGTCTTTGGATGGGTTTTATATATGGTACACATCCATAGTTTCGGACTGTACTGACCTGCAGCCTACACAAGGGTCGATACAAAACTAGTTTTTTTTCTGAAAACAAATTTAATGAATAGTTGGAAAAACACAAAAAATCTGGGAACGAGTTCGTTGAAATTCCCACAAGAAAAGCGTTGTGGGACGAACTAGTCAAAATTACCATTTAAAAAGCGTCTGGGGACGAGCTTGTCGAAATTACTATAAGAAACCCGTCTGGGTACGAGCTAGTCGAAATTACTATAAGAAAAACGTCTGGGGACGAGCTACTCAAAATTCGATGTAAACATATGTACATCATTGTTAAATCAACTTGAAGTGAAAGGTCTTGGTAGAATAGAGATCATTTTCGGTCTAATCTTTTTATCTCTAAGAATTTCAATCAAACCATCTTGGACACTTGGGAGATGAAAAATCCCAATATTAATTATCTAGGGCGGGGACTTATCTTGATTGTGGGTTAAAACGGCCTCCTATTGAAAATAACGAAAGGATATCCAATGGGGTCATTCTGCGGCTACTCAATGACCAACCTTATTACCTTATTAATCACAAGAAAATAGATTAATATTAACAGCAGACTATAGCATGATATTCAAAACGGATTTTAAGATGGTAGCCGTCATATCTAAAAATCCGTACTGATATATATTATCTGTTTATTAAAAAATAGGATAGAGACATTTCAAAAAATGTCAATTTCCTTTTATAAAGAATTTTATCAGTATACTTAGGTATCATAGCACTATAACAGTGCCATCAGCTCCTCAATAGAATAGGATAGGTACAATTATTTAAGGATGGCCTCATTTCTGCGAGATTAATGTTTTTGTGGGAGGCTGCGATGTGTTCGTGAAACCCTTTCTAGATAGTGCGAAAATGAATCCGATTTTATGATGCTTCCACACGAAAGAATACTCCGAACTCCGAAGAACACACCACCCAGTCAAATAATACTGACAATCAGTCGTCGCTCGTCCATCGAGTTGAGAATAGTATCTTTCACTTGGAATGATTTGTAGGTATGTCTCAGCCAGACCACAAAGCTCCAAGCCTTCCTCACTTCACTCAGGTGCATTGTTTAACATCCAATCAACAGCTATGGTCATTAACAATAAACAGTGGGCCAATGAACGAATGTAACCGCCCAATGGTTTAAATGTGATAGTTTTAACGAAACGGTTTTATCTGACATCCAAACCAGATACAGATACTAACGAAATTTACGTCCATTGCTTAAATCAATGCCTTCTTGAGTCCCTAGTGTTTCATGCTTTTTTCTACTGCGTTCATAGCTAAGAACAACAATAAAAGATGTATTTTTTATCGAAAATAATATAAAAATACACGCATACATTCCCTGAGATGCAAATCGACGAAGCTTATGGAGAAGACTTAATGATTTCATTGAGAAATTCCTATTTGCTATATGAAGCTGAGCGTGACTGATGCTCGTTGTTTTGTTTGTTGGTTTCTTTGTTGTAAACCGTATTCTCTTTTGGAAATGCGACATTATTTACTTAGATTGACCAAATATTACATGGCAGATGTCTTCAATGAAGTATAAGACGCTTACTCTTCCGGAACACCTGGCGTTAATGTCCATGTACTTGTTCATCAGCCTTCGAGTAAATTTTTCTTAGTTCGTAATTAGCCTAAGTTATGTCAAATTGATGTTTGAATTGGTATTTAAATAACAAGTTGTCATTCTCTTTATTGTTTTAAGCGGAAAACACATTAGGTAAACATGCAGTTGAAAGGATCTGCTGTTATTGATGCCGTGATATAACGTAAATGTGTTTCTCTTTCGCTTAATATAATTATCATCTCCAATGCAACTTACTTAACATTTGATAAAGATGTTATGAGATTAAACTTTACGCTATGCATTTAACACCTTCCATTTCTAAACTAATCCTGTAAGAAAAAAGAACGTAATTGCAAAGTCATTTGCAGACAGGTCAAGTTCCTGTTATCTTGATGATTAAATAATCCAGCTAATCCATTGGTGTCAGTCAAAGATTTATGCTACTAATAGATTGGCCAAGTTATTTTCATCCATTTAGCCGGAAGGAAAAGGGCAAAATTACATTGTTTGAAATTTTCATTTTCATCAGGATCCACGTAAGAACGGAAACCGGTTCAGCAATTTCCGTATACCACAATATAATTTCGTTTGATCTGTCTTTTGAAATTGTATTTGTAGCACATGTCAACATGTCATTAACAGTTGTTTCAGATAGTTTCGTTGTGACATCACCACCATCCCCCATACATTTTAGAAGATTAATTTGTGGATTTGTTTATCAATTCTCTTAATTGATTATAAAAAAAATTCACTCGTGTCAGCAATAGTAAATATATTTTCTTTTCGTGAAAAAAAAATGAATAAAATTATTCGTTTCATGTCATCTACTAAGGGAACATTAAAAAGACGAAAATGGACCTGCTGTTCCTATTTGAGAAACAAGCAAACAAACCAACAAGTATAATGAAAAACCGAAACCAAGATATATCGACGAAGAGATATTTCAGGACGATAGCACTATAAAGTTGGCTTCAGTTCAGTTCGCACTATTAAACACGGGCTTACACGAACAAATCGCACTCTCCCAAACAGACATTTTCAACAGATGCAATTACCTCGCGATACTAAGTGTTGTTTGCGAATTAGGCAATATAAGCAATTCAGCATCCCCTGTCTTACTAATAAATTGTGATTTCTCCATTTGTTCTGGTCAGTATGACTTTAATGGCGACGTAAGACGGTCAGTGTCTTAAGCCAGATTGATTGTATAACAATATATATATATATATAATACAGCAATTCCTACGTTACGCTACAAAAGGAACTACTCGCAAAGCATAGGTAGTACCCTACAAAAATGAATGAACTTTGTTCGAACCCGACAAAAATGAATGAACTTAGTTCGAACCCGACAAAAATGAATGAACTTAGTTCGAACCCGTCAAAAATGAATGAACTTTGTTCGAACCCGACAAAAATGAATGAACTTAGTTCGAACCCGACAAAAATGAATAAACTTTGTTCGAACCCGACAAAAATGAATTAACTTAGTTCGAACCCGACAAAAATGAACTAAATGCAAGCATAGTTACTACCATACAAAAATGAACAACGTGCAAGCGTAGTTAGAACTTTTCCAAATTAACAACGAGCAAAGTGTAGATAGTATCTTTAACTTTGTGAAAAGTAATCTGTTTAGATGTTTGAATTATTCATAAGTGAAGGCAATCTGATGTTATCGATTAATTTTACATTAACTATATCACTTACGCTTTAATGGAACTAAGTGCATTCGATTGTCATAGATGCTAAAAGCTATACTTTTTTATTTATTGATTTTGTTTTTGAAATCAACAGTTCAGACGTTTCAGATTACGTTAGAGATGTCTGATAGGATTTTTCATAAGTAATGCAAACGTATTGATGATTGTCTTGGCTATAACCACATGTCTTTACTTGTATCATAAACATATACATGATATAAACAGTAAGGTTTCCTATATTGTATTGTTGATATGTTTGCAAACAACGATAATTAAGTGGAACATTTACAAAAATAAATAAATAAGTAAATAAATAAAAAGATGAATAAACCAATTGGAAACACAAAGTAAACAAATTTAACATCGTTTTTATGAAGACGCAAATAAATAGCAACTTTGAAATTAAATTAAGAATTAGACACCTAATGAAGTAAACTGCATCATACAGTTGGTTCGTGTTAAGACTAGTCAGTAGCATAGTTGAACACGCTGTATGTTACAGAGACAACGTGTAAATCTTCTGACTCAAACTACTTCTTGCCAAAAGCAGACAGAAATCATTTATTATATCTCTACAGCTACTTTATTTAAGGATTGAATTTTGCTTATGTCTATTTCATGGGATGCTGAATTGAGTTGGTCTTGAGACAAATTTAATGAACTGCGAAGCAAGATTCAATCCTTATATTTCAATTCACGCTTCTTTTTTCTATAGCATGGGTACTGACGCAATTTATCTTCTACTTTCATTTTCGTTTCAGATTATTGTGACAGGTTGAAATATATTTCAACGTGGTTACTTAATATTCAATGAAACTTAAATTAGAACAAAATTTAATAAATTTTTCGACAACTTTAATGAAAATTTAAATAATACTGTGCAATAATGACAGTATGCATTTTTTCCCGCGGAATAATGACGTCTAGACTTGGTGCGCTGGTTCGCAAACGAAGCGGTGTCAGCCATTTTTTCACAGACACCGAAGCGGAGAGCAAGAAATATCAGGATTCAGTCGCTTCACATCTTTTGAAATATTAGTTATTATAAATGTGATGTATCTACAGTGTTGTTTCTTTTTACAGTATGGTATCAGCGGCCCATTCTGGTACGCTGCAGGGGCGTCAATACAAATTCTACTGTTCGCCATGATATCTGTCCAACTGAAGATCAAAGCTCCTGGAGCTAAAACCTTCCTTCAAGTGATCAAGGCTCGATTCGATTCCCGAACACACAAAACGTTTTGTGTCTTTGCACTAATGACAAACGTTATCGTCACCGCCATGTTGATGTTAGGTAGGTCAACATTAACTTCGTTATACAACATTATAAATAAGATGGAAAATTTATCACGGCAGTAAAATTGGCAACAGACGGAGGACATTGAAGAAAACCATATTATTTATTGATGCAGTCTATCAGGTTTTTTGTTTTAAGCAGTGGCAATTTTGAATCTCAACGTTATAAGAAGTAGCTGTTTTTAGGGCCAAGTTACGAATAATTTATCATCATTTATATATCTGCGTTTCATGTTTCAGGAAAGTAGATAAAATGCACTCTGAATTAATTACGAAACTTCAGACTTAAAAGGTGGTACATGTACTTTTGACTATATAGAAAACATCGTGAAACAGCTAATTTCAGTTTTACTGAACAGAAAATAATGGTTATGTATTGTAGTAAATGAATGTCTGCTTATTACAAAACCACCCTATCATTAGTGTTATGACATCCATTACGCACAATTTGTCAAGCTCACACGTGTGGTAGCACCTAAAGGAGCTGTAAATGGCTGAAGGTTCCCTTTGTTTCGATTGTAATATCATGTCGTCATCTGCATTGAAATATCACCAGAGATATGGATTACTTATATATAAGTCATATGATAAACAGAATCTTATACCAGTTCCATTTACAATTTTTGAATAGTCACGACTTCACCTCAACGGAAGCTTAATAAAACAAAAGGATATATATATACATTAATTTAAACTTTATATGAGATTTGATTTTAAAAGTTTAAATTAATTTTTATATATATTAATCGTTAACCACATTTTGTTTTACTACATACGGTAGACTATTATATATATCTCATATCAAGTTTTAATTTATCACAAGAAATTCAGAATTAGATTCTGTCCAAAAAATGGGCCAATAGTTCTCTAAATGGTACTCTGTTTTCTTCCATGGATACATATATCATTTGACTTATCTGTAATCTATAACGGTGTCTTGGATGGTTCGGTTAGGAGTTTTAATGGCGAACAGTTTGAGCAATTAAAGGCAAAGCGGAATATATCATATTACAAATTTGTTTTTTTCCTGTCTTCTTTCCGATGATTGAACATCAATTACCCGACTGATGTTGAAGAATGGTTTCGCTGTTCCTTATCAGTCCATGCCTCTTCGACAAGCGAACGTGTACAAACACATGATTAAGATTCCAACAGGTTTTACCACAAATTCTGTAGGAGACAGCACAAAATAATACGTAAGAAAACGATAAAATACACTTAAGATATGCGGTAAGCTGTCAGTAAAATTAAAATTCATCAGGTTTTTCTTTAAATGTTGTCTTTAATTAGTCTTATTGAATTTGAGTTTTGATAACAATACAATGACATGTTAGTATATTCTTCAACTTTTTATCAATTAACGAGTTTTTTTAATGGTAGACTAATACTGGCTATATGACATTTAAAAAGGGCAAACGGTTATTTCGGGATATTTTTAAGATGTCATTGCGAATGAATGGTTTCGTTTTATCATATATGAGTATTGTAAAATCATATATTTTTGTGGGGCTGAATTTTCGTGGGTTTTTTTTTCTATTTTTTTTTTTTTTTAATTTTCGTTGGTACTTTGTTGGTTAAATCTTGCTCACGAAACCCGCTAGGTCTATTATCCATGTCAGTTTCTCCGTTTATTATATCATGGATAGATTAATGCGTTGAACAACGAATTGTAAGAGAAAATCCCCAAAGAAAATTAAGGATTGTAAAGAATTGGACAAATTTTCAACGGGTATATATTTTGTATCAGTGAATTAAAGGTATATTGTCTTAAAGCATTGAAATTAACTTACATTACAATACTTCGTAAGAAACATTTGATGATGTAGGTAAGCCTCATTTAGCGATAGGTGTAGATGAAATGTCACGTTACTGTAAAGAATACATTATCAATCTCAATACACAAGATAGGTACATGTTCAGTACTCCTGGTGTTTTAATCAGACAAATACGCTTCATCTTTACAATTCAATAATTTATTTCTATTCATATAACGAGCCTTTGCTAGCATAAAATCGAAGATATTCTCAGTACACGTGATCTCAATATCTGTTTCAGCGTTTTGCGCTCAGATCAAGTAAATCTTATTTCACGTCTTGTCCTTTTGTCTGTGTCTTGCCTAGTTAGAAGTCTTTCAAAAACTGAATGAACAATCTGTAATCTGAGTTTGCTATCTGGAAGGGAAACAATTGTACCAGTAGGAAATTTCTTTATCTTGTAAATAACAATATTTGTTAGAGAGATGTGCTCAGTTCTCATAATGATAGTTCTGGGCCCGTATTTATGAAACCATTCTCATGCTCAAGCATAGATTTTGTTCTCAACCAGACCTTTTTTTTTATAATTCGCCTAAATCATATAAAATAATACATATGTCGGATATAAACATTGAATATAACTTTGACTTGAAGTCCTTTCAATTTTTTTTTAAAAACATTTGGCAAAATCAGTCTCATTTATTAATTTTAACTTAAACAAGACATAAGGCTTGAGCACAAAATTAATGCTCGAGGTTGAGAACGCTTTCATGAATACGGGCCCAGATGTTTCTGAAGGAACGTTCCTTCAGGAACTACTTTTTTTCCGTAAAATTATTCAATGCAATAGTTATTATAAAGTAAATCTATATTCTTATGATGAATATAAACGCGAACTCATCAGAAAAAATACGAAAATTTTTTTAACTTAATAACAGTAATAATGTATGTACTATGATGACAAATTGCACATAGATTTTGTTTCAGTTTTTTCCCCAATTTAGCTTTAAGTAATATTACTGAAATGTGAGAACAATTTTTAATATATTTCCATTTTAACACCAATATTGTACAAAAGACATAATTGAACAACATATTTTATACAAATAGACTTAGATACAGTAGAGCCAGGACTCCTCAGTGATGCAAGGGGCCTGAATATTGAAGCCGAGAATTTGACTGAGGAAAACCAAAAGTAATTTGGAAAAAAATGTAAAAACCTAAAAAGGAAGTTCAATAAACTAATTTTCAGATATTTGATAGTTTTAGAACAAAATCAAGTATGTGTGTATATTCTGAACCGTACCACATGTGGTGTGTAGGTTACGGCTAAACTCGGGGACTGATAGTGTCTACCACCTACGAACTCGAAAATTGTAAAACTGACACACAAGTAAATATTTTGGTTTTCTTGTTCCTTAAGGATGCATTTTGATGCATGATTGATTTTGACGCTCGTTTTTCGATTTCTCAACAGGTGGCGCCGCTGTACTGACCAGTCTTATCCAGAACATATCGGTTGAATATGCAACTGTGCTGATTGCGGCAGTCATCGGAGCATACACGCTGATTGGTGGACTCGGCGCCACTGTTTACGTGTCATATTTCAACACAGCCATTATCTACATCATTATGGTCATTTTCATTATGAAAATATACAACGACCCTGATTCTCCCGACAACCCCCTTGGTAAGTCACAATTTTCTTACTTTACTGTCATAATGTAACTAAACAAGATTAAGTTGACCAGAATTTACATGGTGAGTGTTGTTGATGAAGCAGAAGACGCTTACTCTTCCGAAACACCTGGTCTTATTCTACTTGCACTTTTTCCAAAGTTTCCGTGTAAATTTTCCTTTTGTTTATCGTTTTCCATTTTTTTCTCTAATTTTGGTTTGGATTATGTTTTGTTGACATGTTGGTACTTTCTTTATTGTTTTTGATATCCAAATGTTTGTAAAGCTGTGATTTAGATATAATGTATTTACCACAATGGTACCCACAATAAGACTTCTTTTATCAATCCCTCAAATCCAACGCAATCACATGAGTTCAGTCAAAACCACGAAACATTATTTCAAAATAAAACCGAAGTCCATCAGACCTAATTTTATTCGTTTTCCGGTAACTTTGAAAACTGGAAATTGATACTTAAAGCTTATTAAAAATTTAAGTTGCTATGTGACCTTTTGAATGTGCCTTTACCAGACCCTGCAGAATCATGTGGTGTCAGCAAGGTCACCTTGTAAATAATATGATACTCTAAAAACGGTAATTATTGCTGTCAAGTCGTTTTAAGGTTAACCTTTTTAGGTAACAAAAAAATACTTTTATATGAAAATAGACCAGAAATGTAAGATCTGATACTTGTTGATTAGAAAACTTCAAATATAAAAAATTCAGTTTGTATAACAAACAATTATTGACATTTTTCTGCCACGGGAAATATCCTCTCTCTGAAGTTGACAAATTCTCGTCTTTACAAAAAAATAATTTCTTATATGACAAAGCATTTGACATGTCGACATTATAACTATACATAATTAATTTTTCAGTTAATTTATTTTGATAGCCTCGTGGAAATTTCGTTACTATTTTTAGTAACGGTTTTCCCATTTCAGATGACGAAATTTCGTGCAGGTTCACATCGCATTATTTTCGAAAACTGGAGAATTCTTGACCAATTACAAAAGAGGGATTTTTTGCAGTAATGTAACTCATAAAATTATTGATCTGAAAGCAGCAGATGTACAAACACCTTAGTGGTTGATGACTGCTGAGACTTGCTTTGATGTCACAATCTAAAGAATAATAGATATAGTATCATGCACGACTGGTAAAAGGCGAGCTAGCAGCTTAAGCAGCAGTCAGACAATTGATTCATCATACGGTAAATGATAGTATATCATGGTATATTTACATCGATATGAATGTATTCTAGTAATCCGTTTCAATTGCATATATATACCCTGCTTTTGTTATGTACGGTAGATTTTGCTATCAAGGTAAGATTGCTTTTTGTCATGAAACTAGGTTTGTTAGGCCATTCATCCTGAAGGAATAGGAGAGTCTATTGCGATCACCTTTCTTGTCGTACTTTCAAGGTCACAGGGGTCAAATGTGTTAAAATCGTTAAACGACTTCTTCTCAAGACCCGAAAAGCCCGTGGTGTTAATATTACTACATTTTACTTTAGCTACCAAGTATCTTCAAATGAATGACCTAGACCTACTTTACAGGTTACAGGGGTCAAACGTATAAAAAAGACTTCTAAACAACCAAAAGGCCTAGGGTGCTGATATTGGGACTGTAGCATGCAGGACTACCAATTGTGTTCAAAACGATATTTTGTTAAAACGACTCTTTGCAAAATTGAGCCATGGATCTCAAACAAGCTTTCTTTAATACCGCTTGAAAGACTTTTTTATTTATTTTATTGAAAATATACAACTGCAGCCAGTCCAAGCTCCAGTTAGATTTTTCTTTTATGTGTAACAGTTCTGTGTGTGATCTGTTGTCATGATAGGATACAAATTGTATCATGGAAATCATGTTTTTGATATTACACAAGACATTACTAATCCCCACGATGTTTTGTATTATTCAGACTGAAAAGTCCATAACTCTAGTGTAATTGTATATATAAACAATTCTATAGACCATCACATTGATCCTGAACAAAATTGACATCGTAACTTGAAAATCAATACTGAATAGACAGTCAAAACAAGTGGTCTTGGAAAAACATTGCTGTAAAGTTAGAAGTTGATCGGTCCAATGGCACTTAAGCGATTGAGCGGAAATAAAGTTTCTACTTATAGTGATAATGACCTTTGCCTTTGACCTTTGACATCAAGTATGCATATATCAGATTTTGTGTATCAAAACATGGAAATTCATTAAAATTTCGGCTAGAGAGCCTTGTCGAATTTCAAAATGCATTTGTCTCCAACTCAAACCAAGAAACTACCTAGGACGATTCATTTTTAAAGTATCCGATTTAATTTCAACAAAATATTAAAAATATAAAAAAACAACAAGAAAATAAATATTTGTCATCATTTGATTAAACAAAATACAGATAAAGGAGACATTTCCACAGAGACAATATCCTTAAAGCTTGGCCAATCCAAGTCATTGTAACTAACTAGATCACAGTAGGCACCACCGAAACCTCCAATCAAAATACTTCGTTTAGAGAATGCTGGTAAGGACTTTATAAAAAAGAAATCTCAATGTAGAGGTCAAAGGTCAGAGGTCAGGAAGGGCTAAAGATCGTGAAACCAAGTCCGTTAATTGGAATATGAATTTCAAGAAACTTATGAATTCCGCTGAAAACCATGTCAGAGAATGGGTGAAACAAGAACATCCTGAGTTGTATTCACTTTCTGAGTGGGTCAGGTCAATTTGATCTTTGTTTTTCGGTCGTCATAATAATCTCATTGAGAAATATTCTATTTTTTTTTTTTGTTGTGTGATAAAAAGCTGGACTTGTTGATGCTCGTTTGTTTGTCTGTTGTTGTTTACCTTGTTCTCAAAATCATTATTGTACAGCTTTACAACACAAATCATTTCATCTTTGGGAATATACTCCTTTGAATTGAGACTGCATTTTTAGGCGGCACAGTTTCATCATTGTGGTTTAAGAGATTTTGACTCCATGTTATCGTCTTTGGATATTTCTCAATCGCCTCCTAGATTTAAAATTTAGGCCCTTAACATCACTGACGAGTCCTAGGAGACCGGAACAGCTGTATGGTGCAGTTTAATTCATTATTTAGATCTAGAATATCTTATTTTGATTTTCATCAAAACGTGCGATTAATTGTGTCTTTTGTACAGTCTTCGTAAGCAGAGACGCCATCAAATAATTGTGTGGCATTATATTACCCGCGTACACAACCTTAGTGATTTCATTATCCGTTCAAATAAAAATAAATATGGGTGGTCGGGTGGCGCAGTGTTAACGCACTCGCCTTTCACCTAGCCGACCGGGGTTCGATTCCCGTGAAAAGGTAAGGGGTCACCTGTCCGACCGCGTGGGTTTTCCCCGGGTACTCCGGTTTCCTCCCACAATAAGGCCCCTCGCGCGCTTACATCCGGGCCAACAAGAGTGATTAGTATAAGTTTAAATAACTTGTTTCGCAATTGTTGTAAAACAAATAAAGTTTATATATTTATATAAATAAAAATCCGAAACAAGTTTCTACGCTGTAAGGAAATGGGATTCAACCATTAACATGCCGACATTTTATTTGATCCTTTGAGTGCATAATATTTGTGTTAACTTCATTTTCGCATTTTGATTGTTTTTAATTGCAGGATCTATAGAGAAAGTTTACACATTACTCAATTGCACGGAGGGACCCAGTGACAACAGTGGAAGCAGCTATCTCACAATTCTCTCGAAACCGGGGCTCATGTTTGGTCTCATCAATATCGTAGGTAAGACCATTATCTCGACACAAGAATCTTTCACGAAAGTAGATACTCTCCAAAATAAGCCTCGCGTTTCAGGTAAGATAATGCTCTCTTCTGTAACCAAGCCTTACGTTATATGTAACATAACACTCTCTTCTGTAACCCAGCCTTACGTTATAGGTTAACATAACACTCTCTTCTGTAACCAAGCCTTACGTTATAGGGTAACATAACACTCTCTTCTGTAACCCAGCCTTACGTTTTAGGGTAACATAATCTCTCTCTTCTGTAACCCAGCCTTACGTTATAGGTTAACATAACACTCTCTTCTGTAACCCAGCCTTACGTTTTAGGGTAACATAACACTCTCTTCTGTAACCCAGCCTTACGTTTTAGGGTAACATAATTTCTTTCTTCTGTAACCCAGCCTTACGTTATAGGTTAACATAACACTCTCTTCTGTAACCCGGCCTTACGTTTTAGGGTAACATAACACTCTCTTCTGTAACCCAGCCTTACGTTATAGGGTAACATAAAATTCTCTTCTGTAACCCAGCCTTACGTTATAGGGTAACATAACATTCTCTTCTGTAACCCAGCCTTACGTTATAGGGTAACATAACATTCTCTTCTGTAACCCAGCCTTACGTTTTAGGGTAACATAACATTCTCTTCTGTAACCCAGCCTTACGTTATAGGGTAACATAACATTCTCTTCTGTAACCCAGCCTTACGTTATAGGGTAACATAACATTCTCTTCTGTAACCCAGCCTTACGTTATAGGGTAACATAACATTCTCTTCTGTAACCCAGCCTTACGTTATAGGGTAACATAACATTCTCTTCTGTAACCCAGCCTTACGTTATAGGTTACCATAACGCTCTAAAAATACAAATGAAATGTTTTCTATGAGACGGCGATTCTCTACATTTATATTAATTAATTGGTTTTAAAAAATACAAAAAGGATAAACTTTCTGTAATCTGGTCGACCCTTGGATCTCGGTGACAACACCTAGAGTACGTTACTTTTGAAGTTCTTTTCTCAAACCTTCATGTTAATTTGATTAAATTCCGTTATCTACGTATTATTAAATGATATGTATACAACAGTTATATGTGGAAACGTGTGTTCTATTCTGAGTCAAGTTCAGAATCAATATATATGTCGAGTGAGTGTGACACAAAGCATACAAGCTATGACTGCGTCCACTCCAATTTACCATTCCAGACTCTATAAACGAGATGTACTTTCAAATAAGACATGAAATAACACTAATTAAAATGTCACGTGCTTAACGTCATTTCATGACCAAGTTTTATCCAGCCCTCAGTATTTCTAACATAGAAACAAGAAAACCCGTCCAGGAACATGTATTGACCGGCTTTCAATTTTGCAGTTCGCCTACTAATGAAATGTCCCCTTTGACGACAAGTCAACAAGCTTCGCTATATTTGCATATTTGCAGGAAATATACATACAGATGTCGTTGATGCACTCATTAATTAGTTGAATTTTTAAAGTTCCTATATGGGTGCCACAAATTCGCCAGAAGGTATTAATTTTTCGCAGGTAGATTTCTCTATTAATGAGCAGATAAATGAAAGGCGAAAGGTTAGACAATGTTTAACCCTATCCTTATATGTATCATAATTAGGTCTGAAAGTTTTTGTAGAATAATTGTTTGTGTGTTTTTTAAAAATGATAGCATCATCTTGCATTTTATCGGATTGTATCGGTATCTTTTAAAATCTTCCAAAGTTATTTCCAAATACATTTTTTCTAAATGCATTTATTATGCAATTTGCAAAATGCAATCCGAAACATAAACAGAAAATTATCCAAAACGAACCAAGCCACAGGCAAACGCAAACCGATCTCAAAGGCAAACACAAATTGATCTCAGAGACAAACGCAAATTGATCTCAAAGACAAACGCAAATTGATCTCAAAGACAAACGCAAACCGATCTCAGAGACAAACGCAAACCGATCTCAGAGACAAACGCAAATTGATCTCAGAGACAAACGCAAACCGATCTCAGAGACAAACGCAAATTGATCTCAAAGACAAACGCAAATTGATCTCACAGACAAACGCAAACCGATCTCAGAGACAAACGCAAACTGATCTCAGAGACAAACGCAAACTGATCTCAAAGACAAACGAAAACTGATCTCAGAGACAAACGAAAACCGATCTCAGAGACAAACGCAAATTGATCTCAGAGACAAACGCAAACCGATCTCAGAGACAAACGAAAACTGATCTCAGAGACAAACGCAAACCGATCTCAGAGACAAACGAAAACCGATCTTAAAGACAAACGCAAACTGATCTCAGAGAAAAACGCAAACTGATCTCAGAGACAAACGCAAACCGATCTCAGAGACAAACGAAAACCGATCTTAAAGACAAACGCAAACTGATCTCAGAGACAAACGCAAACCGATCTCAGAGACAAACGAAAACTGATCTCAGAGACAAACGCAAATTGATCTCAGAGACAAACGCAAACTGATCTCAAAGACAAACGAAAACTGATCTCAGAGACAAACGAAAACCGATCTCAGAGACAAACGCAAATTGATCTCAGAGACAAACGCAAACCGATCTCAGAGACAAACGCAAACTGATCTCAAAGACAAACGAAAACTGATCTCAGAGACAAACGCAAACCGATCTCAGAGACAAACGAAAACCGATCTTAAAGACAAACGCAAACTGATCTCAGAGACAAACGCAAACTGATCTCAGAGACAAACGAAAACTGATCTCAAAGACAAACGAAAACTGATCTCAGAGACAAACGCAAACCGATCTCAAAGACAAACGCAAATCGATCTCAGAGACAAACGCAAACTGATCTCAGAGACAAACGCAAACTGATCTCAGAGACAAACGCAAATCGATCTCAGAGACAAACGCAAACTGATCTCAGAGACAAACGCAAACTGATCTCAGAGACAAACGCAAACCGATCTCAGAGACAAACGAAAACCGATCTCAGAGACAAACGCAAACCGATCTCAGAGACAAACGCAAACTGATCTTAAAGACAAACGCAAACTGATCTCAGAGACAAACGCAAACTGATCTCAGAGACAAACGCAAACTGATCTCAAAGACAAACGAAAACTGATCTCAGAGACAAACGCAAACCGATCTCAGAGACAAACGAAAACCGATCTTAAAGACAAACGCAAACTGATCTCAGAGACAAACGCAAACTGATCTCAGAGACAAACGCAAACCGATCTCAGAGACAAACGAAAACCGATCTTAAAGACAAACGCAAACTGATCTCAGAGACAAACGCAAACCGATCTCAGAGACAAACGCAAATTGATCTCAGAGACAAACGCAAATCGATCTCAGAGACAAACGCAAATTGATCTCAAAGACAAACGAAAACCGATCTTAAAGACAAACGCAAACCGATTTCAGAGACAAACGCAAACCGATCTCAGAGACAAACGCAAATCGATCAACGATCCAGAACGCAAATGATCACAAACACTGGAAAGGCAAACCAAGCAACTTTTTTGGCATGTAAAACGGTTCAGGGTCTATAGAAGGACGCTGCCAATGCAAAGATTACGTTGTAGTTACGAGAATACTCTCTTCTGTAACCAAACCTTAGCACTCAGTGAACCCAAGTCTTATGTTGTAGGTAAGATATCACTCAGCGAACCCAAGTCTTACATTGTAGGTAAGATAGCACTCAGCGAACCCAAGTCTTATGTTGTAGGTAAGATAACACACAGCGAACCCAAGTCTTATGTTGTAGGTAAGATAGCACTCAGCGAACCCAAGTCTTACGTTGTAGGTAAGATAGTACTCAGCGAGCTCAAGTCTTATGTTGTAGGTAAGATAGCACTCAGCGAACCCAAGTCTTACATTGTAGGTAAGATAGCACTCAGCGAACCCAAGTCTTATAATAATAAATGTCTTTTTATAATAAAAAAACAGACTCTACACGTACGCGGCAGAATTTCCATTGTCGCCACCTGACAAAGGGATTAGATAGCGCCCTCTAGGTTTCTCTGTGTTACGTGGTTATCGAACACAAATGAAAGTTTAATGGCGAGTTCAAAAGCAATTACGATAGCCATTTAATAGATACATAATCACTATCATGATCGTGTGATGGATAGGACTTTTAAAGATGGCGTACCATGGTAAACTCTGCTTTCAAGCGGTAATATCCATAATTTATATACTCACTATGATCATGACACATTTTGTATCTGATTCGCAAAAAGTGCTATTATTGTTGGAATCGGAAGCGTGATTGGAAATGGGCACCACCTCCCTAATGAGGCGTGGACCAATCAGAGAGAACCATGCGATATTTTAGATATTCCATATGTGATATCTGAAATATCGCATGGTATGGGATTTATCACAAGGAGAAGATCAAAGTAAAACCAAGGCGTCATTGGATAAGGCGGTGCTATCATATAGTGGTGTCTAATTTATAGAAATGTAAATACACACGGCGTAAATCAAGAATTTTAACATGTACCGGTCATTTTAATGGTGTAGGACGTTTCGTGTAAAATCGATTCTTAAAATACATGTACATCGGAGAAAAAACGCTTTGTCCATTTTTTTTTTTTTAACTCTGTTTAAAGTTGTATTTCTTTATGAAAGAAATAAGTTTTATAAATATTTTTTTTTTAATTTCAACTTTTTGATGTGTTTATCGAGTTAAAAATGTCATCACATATAGTCTTAAACATGAAAACATAGAAAAAAATCACGGGCTTAACATTTAATTTATAAATATATATATATTCTAGTCCAAGATGTCGTCTACGATGAATGATTCGTTTAGATGTGTCGAAGTGTTTTTGCTTTTTTCAAAACATCAGAGAAGAAACAAAGTCATTTAATGATATACAAGCCTAACCACCATACAAAGGATCGAAAAATACAAACATTAACTTGATGTTACTTTCAACAAGAGACTACAGAACTCAAGTTTAGACAACTCATCTTTGGAACGGTGGAGAATTCATTTGAATAGCAATATTGTACCGGAAGTTGTAGGTTCCGCCACTTGAGTGTCCTCCACAACGCCAGAATCAACTAAATAGTTTCCAGAGCAAGTTATAAGCTTTGTGGTTTTATTTATGTTTTTTGTGAATAAATATTTCAAATAAATATTTTGCATATCTCTACAAATAAATATCTGGGGATGTTGATTAGCATCGCACACCCTACAAAGGGAGTGACAAGGACTCGTATTCTTGTTTAAGAGTCACTACTAAGTGTAATATACACAATTTAAACAATAGATTTAGGTAGTGTCATCGAGAGACGATTCACGTGTATATACGTAAATGTTTACAATCATAACCAATATCCTTGGTTACTTAAAGTTAAAGAATTAATAAATTTTCAGAAGCTGGAAAATTAAAAGATCAAAGAGTCAAAATTTACTTAAACATGCTTCGTATGTTTATATCTTATATTTGCCTCTATTTTGTTTTTTCGCTGTTTTGCTCGCGAAAAGACGCCGGGAAAAAGACGAAATGGCGAAAAAAACGAAAAACCGCCAAATTAAAAAAAAGAAAAGACGGAAAAAACACAAATCGAAAAAAAAGAAGAAGGAAAAAAAACAAAAAAACAAAAAAAACAAGCGAAAACCCACAAAAGCATAATAACTAAAAATACGCTTAAGCGTTAAGTTAAAATGGCGTCTTTTTATGCAGGTCTGTCGTCTTTTCGATTTGACAAGTTTTCGCTTTGGATCTTTGGCGGGTTTTCATCTTATCGTTTTTTTCCTGGACGGGTTTTCGTCTTTTTGCTTAGGCGGATTATCAGTTTTGCAGTATTTCGTCTTTTCGCGGGTAACAAAACGAAAAGACGAAATGTCAGGTATAAGCCACACTAGGCCCTAGCCACTTTACATTATTATCACAAGATGCAGTATATCTGCTAGATTTTTCGAATGACATAACGAATGTATATGGTTTGAAAACACAATAGCAATAGATACGGATAAATTTGGAATTCTTATACTCCTTTGCAAAAATACTGTATTCTAGATATTTCACATTGCTGGATATAAGAGACTTGCCGATACCAACATGTTAATTTACTGAAGGACAGGCAAAGATTCCCAACCTTCATTAACCTAATACCGCTAAATCGAATCTAACATTTGATCACAATTAAACATGACTTGTTTTTCTTTAAAATTCCAGATTTTCATCGGTGGCAAAAAAGGAATTAAATGTTTTTACAAATTTGTAAAAAATTTTTCTATTGTTTAAGGAAACTTTGGAACAGTGTTTGTTGACCAGTCCTATTGGCAATGCAGTGTAGCAGCAAAGCCGAAGGAGGGCGTAATTGGATTTCTGCTAGGAGGCATCTGCTGGTTCGCAATTCCTTTCGCTCTGGCTACTACCACTGGATTAGCCTACATTGCCCTTGGCACGACACAGAATGGCCCGCTACTAAGCGTTGACCAGGTGGATGCTGGTGAGTACTCTTTGACATATCTAATGACAAATTACAGATCATTACCAATCTGAATTTGATATCTCACCACACACAAACATTTTTTACTGTAGACTAACGTAGATAAGCGCTCTATATATAACGCTTACAAGCGATATTCCGAGAGTAATTTATACAAAATGTCTTTATTAAATAGTAATGTATTCACTCGATTTGTCTACATGGATTTGTTTGCCGAAGTCGACGCATTGTGTTAACCTCTGGGCGTCAGTCAGGATCAATACATGTAAAACATCAAGTCATCATCTTTTTCTTATAATTCTAACCAAATTTGAAATATCTCCGAGTGTGATTAAACAAATTATGCTCCAAATGTATCTTTTTTTCACGAAGTATAGTAAACGTTATTCCCTCCCCTCCACAAGGGGAAATGTGAGACCATGGGGTCATAAATTTCATGATTGTGTTAAAAGCACATTAAGGCGCTTCCATCCACGAACAGCATTTAATCTAACCATATCTGGGTGTTGAGAAGAAGAGTTTTGAAACTTATGTCAATTTGACAGCTTTTGACCCCGCCCCTCAGGTTCCTGGATAATAAGGACCATGTAATCCTTTCTTTTTATTCATCCTACGCCATGAAACTTTTCTGCAAAATTTCATTGAAATTGGTTTAAGTTTTTTTGTTTTTTTGTTTTTGTTTTTGTTTTTGTTTTTTTTTTGTTTTTGTTTTTTCTATTTGAGAAACAGTCGAAAATTTTGCGGACGCACGACGCCAGACAAAGGGCGATCGCAATAGGTCACCATGATACTTTTTCTCAGGTGACCTAATTAGCAAGATTTTAATAGATTAAACATGTTTTTTTTGGAAACAGAAAGTAGATAGAGCTAACTAATCACGAAACCAACTCCGGATATGGCTTACGTGTAAGGCAGTTATCGAAATGATCTTGGACAACTTAACTCACAGATGTGCGACGAAAAAACTTTTAAATCTATAATACATTCTTGAATAAAGCAAATGCTTCTACGTCCAGGGTTGGTACCACCGGCCGTTGCGCAGAGGCTTCTTGGAAGGAGTGGAGAGTTTCTTATTATCATCATGATCATCATGGCGGTAACATCCACGGGGTCAGCAGAGGTCATCGCAGTGACGTCAATTCTTGTCTATGACATATATCAACTATATCTTAAGGTTTGCCCAAATTACTATCTCGTACTGCATGCATTGCTTGTCTTTGAAATAAAAATAAAAATCATTATTTTGAAAAGAACTGTCAAATTGATTTCATTGGTACAACTTACAAAAAGGACAACACAGGCATTTTGAAAATGGTTTCTTTTTCGAAACTCTATATATTATTATTTCTAAATGTTCTGTTGTTATGCTTAGCCATTTTTATTTTCAATATATTTTAATTAACTGAAATAATTTTACTTAAACCGATGTAGCTCTTAACCTACAATTACTTTCCATTTTATCGTTAATTTGTGTGTTTCGTGTGTGTGCGCGTGTGAGTGGTGGGGAGGGGGGTTAGTTAAAATGAAAATTTGCAAGAGAAAAGAATCTGAAATGAAGGAAATGCAGAAAAAAACAGATCATTGACTGAAAAGAAGAGATTTTTATGTCCCTCCATGGAAAAATAAAGCACATTCTCAAATCTGTCGCTCATGTACCACATTAGTCGCCTCCTACGGCAACGTGCATCGAAAAAAAAGGTATACATTTAATGTGCTTTAACGTGTATAACGCTAAAACAGCATAACAGTAGGTCGATCAGAAATAGATTTGCAGGAGTATAGAGACACCTGGTTAGTAAGTAGATATTGAACACTGATTAATTCATTAATTTCAATCTAATACACATATCAATGAGTCCGGAAAGAAAGCATTATTTAACTGATAACGAACGTCAAACAATCACTTTGTCCCGCCTTCAAATAAAACAATGGTTCGTATCCTTTCTAGTAAGTAATGGGCAATAAATCCTGGTGTTCACAATACTCTGATTTTTGTGAAAATGTTTATTGGACAAATTGAACTATTTCCCATAAAAACCAAGCATCTCTGTGCTTGTAAGACGTTTGGTGCGTATCTATACAAAATAAATCGAATTTATAACATATGATCGATTATATTTCTCTTCATGAAATATACTTTCTAAATCAAGATTCCTGACAATTGATATTTTTCTTTTAGCCTTACCGTCTTGTGCTTGACGCAAATAGCTGCCTACTCTGCGGAAAAGCCCGAGGTCGGATGTCCAACCCACGTGATAAATGCACGTGTGAAAGCATGCTGTACTGTATTGCATGTAAAGAGGACAATAAGTATGTACAGTAGCTAGTGTTAGCCAAATTTCGGCATATCCTTTCTATCAATACAAAACAAGTTTTTTTTGCTTTTTGTGTCATAATCAACTTTCCACATTGGTTTTCCACTTTAAAATAGCTCATCATTTTGAAATAAAATGATATCTTAAAATCGCCATGTCAATTTTTGATGATTATTCATAACACGTTTCATTCGTTTACTATTGTCCGTCCGTCCTTCCTTCCATCGTCATCAACCTGCTGTCAGTATTGTCCTCATAATGAGTTCTCAATATGAGAGGTCAAAAATTTCGTAGTACAATGTTTGAGAAAAAGTAACCTTGACCTACTTTCAAGGTCACGCGAGTCACATTTGTTAAAACGCATCAACGACTTTTCCGATAAACCGGAAGGCGCTGAATCACCTGACTGATATTGGATTGGGCCAAACAAATTACCCATATTAAAGGATACTTGGGTCAAGTTTATTGAAATGCACAAAGAACTTCTTCTTATTAACTAAAAAGCCTAGAATAATATTTGACTAGTAGGTTCCTTTTTATGAAGCCTGACAAATTTTGGAGAAAAAATGCATAAAGATCTTCTTCTAATTAACTAAGAAGCCTAGAATAATATTTGAGTGGTAAGTTCCTTGTATGAAGACAAACAAAGTCTGGAGAAAAACAATCCTTTTTCAGCGCTGTAGAGATCGATTTATCAAAATGTGATTCTGACTTCTCCTGATAAGCTGAAGTATCTAAAATCCTGATATATTTAGCAGGAAGATTCCTAGGATAAAATCGACAAATATTGCTGAATGTTATGACCATGACCTTTATTCATGGTAACAGGATTCAATTGGATTCATCTACCCATAAATTTTAATGTGTACTTGTCAGTTCAAACATACTAGTCTCACAGCTTAATATAGACACTTTGAATGTCAGAAACACAATGACATAAATGAGCGACACAAGCCCATCCGGCCTATTGCTCTTTATATTGCTTTGAAAACTGGTCACATAAACACATTCGGTTTTTTCAGCGTTTTCCTTGTGGTTGCTGAAATGCAGACATGCTTTCCTCTGTTCGAATGCCATTTTATATAATGTGTTCGATGGCTTTAAATATATATTCACAAACCGGAACAAAATGTAAACCCTTTCTGAATGGTTCAAGGCACAGACTTACCAATTCTTTCAAGTTTCTATAAGAAACAATCATTTTCAGTATTTCTTTAATTTGGTATCAAACAAACCACAGAAAAGTGTATGCTTGAACGGTAGGATCATATTATCCAAATGATGGCGCCGTTAAAATCTTTGGTTTCCTCATTACGTCTTTAAAGGTTGTGGAGAATATGATTCATAAATAGTTGAACCATTTTCACTTCAAAGGTGCTCATTTGCAGCATCGCCAAATCAATTTCTATATTATCATTGCAAGGTGAATCAGCTGTATGATGCCGCTTAATTCCTTTATCACTATAATTCTATATTTGTTTTGCAAGGCGTTATCTTATCTTGAATTTTCAAAATGTTCAATTTTTTATGCTATTTTTTTGTTCACGGAAATCCTCATTTTGAGTATAGTTCCTCTATATATTTTTATTTTTCAAAGCATTCATTTTTCGCAATTGTAATTGTTCCTTGTAAATAGCATAGATAAAAACAATATTTACAATGATAACTTTATACTTTTATGTAAGACTGGATTCAATTGACTAGAATTTTATAATGTGTCAAATATGAGGTTCCTTTCTTCTCTACAGACAGCGCGAGAATTGGAAGCGCGCTATTAAGCCGCCATACTCGTGCACGGTGCACGGAAAATACCGGGAATATACGGACTACTTATCCACACTCAAAAACTGGTGTCTACTTTGGTCAACCATCGCCATTCTCCCACTCACTATCTTCCTCGACCTTACTGGAGTAAGATATATTTTTATTCATTTATTTGTTTATCTATGTTTTTACAAACAACGATAGCACGTGTCTTACAACAGCGAGTGAAAATTTCAAAAACGTTACATAAAATGATAATCGTGGATCGTTGTGCATTAGAAAAACGTGTACACGTACATCATATTTGTAATAAATATATGAAAACCCCTTTGTAAAATTTTAGGAGGCATATATGAAACTCCAATTTTATCGGAATCTTAATAGAACATGTTTTCTATTATTTTCTTTCTCATATTGATCAAACAAACATGTCGTTTAGGACACTGCTTGAAACTCGTCCCACACACTTTAATTGTTGCCATGGTTTTACAGGTGAGTTTGGCGTGGGTTTACATGTTTATGGGTATCCTGATTGGCTCCGCGGTAATTCCAATAGCGCTCAGCGTGTCCTGGGATCGACTGACAGGAGAGGCTATGATTGCAGGCAGTATCTCAGGCACAATTTTAGCAGTCATTGTCTGGCTGTCGGTCGCTTCAACATACGAAGGCGGTCTTGGTCGTTTCCTTGAAAACACAGGTATGTCTGAAAATTAAGGGCATTGTTAATAGTGTCATTTCAAAAGGATATTTTGAAGAAAAGATGTTTATAAACAATAGGTATTGACAATATCCAGGGTCTTATCTCGGAATAGAACCATGATGTTTTATCACCTAGCTACGCCGCTGGACTACGACAAAGCTTTGAAATACTTATCTTTTATTTATTATTTACTTAAAGGTATTTCAGCTATACATTTCAAAATATGTAAATACAAAATAAAATCTTATAAACTGTGTCAATCAGCTGGCTAATTGGTTTTGTTTTCATACCAGGCTGAATGTATTGAAGAGCTTATCAAAACAGGTCACAAAGACTTTACAAAGTTGTTTAATTTCACCTTCAGGTGTACTAATGACGCCTTGTCTTTAAATGTCAAGATATGTATAGACCACATACATCGTATTTACTTATCACAGCTGGAAAACAAAGACACGACAGACTCTTCTACATCAACAGCTGATCTCGATCTTTTCCTACACCAAACCTAACATGAACAGCTTTCCATCAAGCTGTATTATAAACGTAATGACTTCAAATTCCCAATTGTGAATATTCCATATCTGGATAGTAACATTCCTGCATCTCAACCTATGTCGCAATTGATTCAATACTCCGAGGCCTGTTCCCATTATCACAATTTCCGTGCAACAGACCGACAAATTCCTAACATAGGAATTTAAAAGATGTAGGCTGATGAAAATAATTGCTTTTCGATCGTCATTGGCATAGTCCAATTTTTTTGTGTGATGTGAAGCAGGACATGTTTGATGCTCGTTTGTTTGCCTCTTGGTTCCGTTGTTTTATACTTAGTCCTCATTTGAGAACGTGACACAACTTACTTGGATTAAGGTTTACATTCCAGATGTCGTTGATGAAACACAATACGCTTAATCTTCTGGATCACCTGGTCTTAATGTCCTTGTATCCGTGTGAATCTTTTGTTCATTTATTTCTCTAGTTTTATTGACTTCGAGTTTGGATTTTGATTATGTTGGCATTTTGCATTTCTTAGCAAAAGCAAAACAATTAATAGTAAAGATTACCATGACAACGCCTGTCATGGTTGATCAGTTTTAATCAAGGATGTTGATTAGTTCCGACACTTTGACGTGTTTTCATTAGAAGCAATGAGTAACAAGTTTTTGAAACTTTTATTAATCCTCCTCAATGGCCAAGATGTGAACGCGCGATGGGTCATACTTTGGAAGGAAACCGTAACTGGGGAAACCCCAACGAGGTCGGACAAGTGCTATTTTCACGTATGGCATTGAAATCGAACCCCGGGCGATTAGGTGTAAAGCGAGTGTGTTTTCTTGCATCTTCCAATAATTTAAAATGTCTTCATAACAGTAATGTAAAAATCAGAATTTTCTCATTTCTTAACCAAGATTTTTTTCTCGGTAGCCCACGATGATATAATATTGCAGTGGACAATATTTGACAATATGGAATTTCTATTCGCAATGGATTCTAAAGCTCTTATCTTTCAATTCAGTTGTAATTACGTTATAATGACGTATTCTGGGCACAATATTAATGCACTGATTGACCGTTTAATTTAATTATGCTACAACAAACATGTTCAATATAATTGATAAATCACAAAAGTTAATTGACTCGTGAAATGTGTTATTGATCCGGAGTTTATCTATACCGTGTGAATAAAGTTTGAAAAAAGCAAACACCCTTTTTGTTGATGAAAAATAAAAAATTACGCTCATTACCAACAATCTTATATAAAGGATGAAAACCTGTGTGATAATTTTGAATATTTGCCAAATTGTCATTTCAATTTCATTTTTTGTTTTACAGGACGAGAGATGCCACTTCTTTGCGGCAACATTGTGGCAATCATGTCTGGTGGCATTATCACCGTAGTAACCAGTTTCGTTCAGTCTTGGAAGTATGGCTCGATACCACGTGAGGAAATCTGGGAAAAAACACGTGACATCGATAGCCCTCTAAGTCCATGGACACAACTTTATGAGAAGTACAGTTTTTTTTTTCATTCATCACATGATAGAATTTATCAGACGTGATTCGAGCAAATACTGTTTGTTTCTGGTTTTTGCCACAATGGTTTAAATTGTGATACAAATATATCAAAAGGAAATTAGTCAAAAGTTATGTCTGTTTCTTAAAAGAATAGTTATATGATAATAAAATTGACTTTTATATATCAAGAAACAAATAAATACTTATTGGCAACACTTGTGGGCAATTAAGATGAAATAACTATGTATTTTTTAATGCAGCAAGCGACGATACAATCATATGTCTTTTTTTTCAATGCAGTAAGCGAAGTTTCCAAAAAAAATTATCTCTAAATGTGGCGATATTTTTGGAATCCATAGTAACGAAAGTCATTTTAGTCATGTGCTTCAAAAGGCAACAATGGACAACAATGGACACAGTGGGTGTCGCTTTTTAGTATTGCCTTTCACATGAAATGTACATCGAATTATTTCTGAAATAAATTTGAGAATAGCAATAAAATATCTGCCTATTAAAACAATACTGGTTAATTATTAATTTTAGATTTTAAAAAATCGTTGATTTTGCGGATAATCCCAATCCATGAATTCATATGTCCACGAAATGTTGGAATAAACATAGATTAATTCAGCGTTATCTATCCACGATATCAAGTGTCCATGAAAAGAAATTTTATTCTTGAAAAACCACGGAAATTGAGCCTCACGAATATACACATTTTTGCAGTCAATAATTTATTCAATAGGTTTTCATAGAACTTATAAAGTACTTGATATTTTTTCAGAGATCTAAATATAACAGGTGCCCATCAGCTTGACAACCGGCCCGCGTTAGCAGAAGTTGAACGTCACTTCCGGAGTTCCAAGATAATGGCCTACGTTGGGGGCCTATTGGGCTCAGTCTTGCTTGTTGTGGTTTGGCCTTCAGTACTTATATCTGTTGATATCATGGATCAGTCCGATTTCCATAACTGGGTAAGTCCTCGTAGAACAGGTCGTTTGTTGCTAAACATTTCATGAATTTACTCATTTTTTGGAAAAAATGTAGGAAAAAACATATTGCAGCCGAGTTTAATTCGCAAATATACTATGTTAAATTGAATTCTAAAAATGGTAAACATGGTAAACGTTTCTAAAGATATATACGTTTTTGTTATCCGATAAATTTCTTGATATATACCCTTAGCAGAATTCGCGGATATTCAAATAATGCAAACATACACTATTTATATAGGCATCTCGTAAGAATATAGTTGGTATATATTGCTTAACCTCCGACCTTCAATCAAGGTCATTTGAGTGCTTGTGTTGCATGGATGCGTTTTTGGGGAGCCAGAGATTGTTCATGTAAGCCTTCTTGTGATAGTGCGTAACTGAGGCCGGCTTTAAAGTGCTACCTGACTGAAATGCTCCAGTATGCCTCTGCCATTGGACAAAACCTAAAGCCTTTCTCACAGGGAAGATTTTGTAACAATCAGAGTTAACAGTATCTTAGCACTGTAAAGAGTAATGAAATCGTACTATTTATCCAGATTTATATCAGCTCTGTCATGGCAGACGGAATTGCACAAGGGTGTTTTGTCATGCAGTTTTTGTTATTTTTTGTTTACACGTGGCCTCTAATCGACCGAAACTTCACTTCTTTTCTTCCTTTCTCGTTTATTTACTTGTCATACGCGAGGAAAATTTGATAAATCTCTTTCTTTTCCGACCGAAAGTCGTAAAGCAACATTGTCTGATTTCATTATCTTTCAATTACTCTATAGTTTTATTGTCATATCACACCGTGTGTTCTGCTTTAATATATTCATTGCTTTTGCTTTCTTGTTTTTAACCCCACATGGTTTTTATACGCCCGTCGAAAGACGGACGTATTATGGTATGGCGCTGTCCGTCCGTCCGGCGTCCGGCATCCGGCGTCCGTCGTAAACGTTTATTTATCCGGAGATCTCCTCCAACATTTTTCAGCCGATCTTTATGAAACTTGGTAGGCTTAATCACCATGATATGAAATTGTGTTTTCCTGAACAAGGTTTTGATTAGACTTTTTGATTAAGAGTTATGCCCCTTTGTTTATTTCACTATAGAAATATTGTCCGGAGGTCTCCTCCAATATTTTCAGCCGATCTTTATGAAACTCGGTAGGCTTAATCACCATGATATGAAATTGTGTTTTCCTGAACAGAGTTTTGATTAGAATATGAGTTATGCCCCTTTGCTGTTTTGGCTATTCACGGGCGTATTTTGTCCCGCTTTGCGGTACTCTTGTTGAAATTGAATCGATGTGCCATTAACAGAATAACTGGGGTTTGTTTTAGGTTATGCTTGCCATTGTGTGGGCGGTTGGGGCGACTATCTTCATCATTATATATCCGTTGTTGACTGAAGCATGGGATATTCATCATGCGTTTAAGGAGAGACGCCAGGTCAGCCCCGATATGTGGACCAAACCGTCCAAGCAAACACCAGGCAAGCCGAAAAACGTCGGAAAGGTACCAAGACCAGTTAACCAAAATTCTACTTCTGAAAAGCCTTCTATCAGTAAGGAAAATGAGGACGGAAATGATACTGGTAATATAGAGGAAGGATACACTGACCCCAATCTTATCAACAACATTACGGAGACAGGTGAACCGATAGGAAAACGATTTTCACAGACACAAATGAACGATTCTAATCATATATGACACTAGAATAGAAATTAAAATGTTATCAGAAAATCTAATGATCGGGTATTAAAGTCCATGATTTAATATAACGAAAAAAACTCTATAACATTAGAATGTATTCCGATCCACAATTTCATCACTTTCTGTCCTACTATTCAAAGATATGTCACTTTTTCTTACATAATGAAACCTGCTAATTTTAATTGGCCATATATGGAGGCAGATTCGTGAATAGTTCCGGATTTTTAATAAGCTCTACTAACTGCCAGTTTTCGGCAAAAATGCGTTTGATTCATAAATCTTGTTATTTATATTTTTACATTTGAAGCAAAATCATAAACATAGTTTAGCAAAGCTTTGAAAACCGTAAATTTACAGCTAGATGGTAACGTATTTTCTCTTCGTTTAAGCATCCATAGTATCATTCATCTACACTCGAAATTTTCTTGTTTTAAAAATATACCTAACAGACCGCAAATGTATAGCGATAACAAAATCGAAAAACACTGGACAATAAATAAACAAAATAATAAATAAATATAATAAATAATTAGATAAATAAATAAATAAAGATCTTAGTCGAACGATTGCTATTGAATGTTTAGAAATAGTGTCTCCCCTAAATTAAATGCCGAAATACCCATTTTATGACATTTGCCTCTTTATGAGGAAGCACAGAGAGAACAATAGGTTTATTTTTCTATTACATTCCCACGTGAGACAGTAATGTTTTCTATCGTGTTAGCGTTCAATCATTATAACTTGCCCATGCAAAACTGTCTTGTGTACTCGAAATAATTTATTTCATCCGAAGAATCACATTCTCTTATATATTCAACTAATATATTATTATTTGCGCATCCGTCCAAATTTGTATAATTCATGTTTACCGTTTCGTTCCCGTCCAATACATATATATAATGAGTAAAGTATTTCATAACTCTCTGTCTTTATTCCTATACTATTCTTACATTGATCAAAATATTGCTTTCTACAATGTTTTTTTTCTAATCAAAATGTTTGTTATTTCTCTGTTACACTCCTGGCCCCACTTGTATAAAACATCTCAACTTGAGATTTCCTCAAGTCGAGATTTTCCTCAGCTGATATCTCCTCAAAAACGGCTTGTATAAAATTTTCTCAAGGAACAGGAGGAAGTCATTGGCTAGGATATCCTGAAATTCCTTGAGGAATTTTCATATAAGATATTTTCAAGGAGATATCAGCTGAGGAAAATCTTGACTTGAGGAAATCTCAAGTTGAGATGTTTTATACAAGTGGGGCCCGATCTTTAATTAACAACACTTTTACTCAAAAAGAATGTTTTTATAACATTTTTATTTTTATCATATACTTTAAAATCATTAATTTTCGTGGGGCTTAATTTTCGCTTGGTTTCAGAAAATTAGTAGGTTGGGGTATTTGAGTATGTGCATTAGTTACATATCCGATTGATATAAAAAAAAATTGTCAACTTTATTAATTCGTGGCCGGGTGAAATGAAAAATAAAAAAAATAAAATTAAACCCCAGGGAAAAATGATTCTATTGTATCTATCGATTCCATTACATTGATACAAAATACTCGATAATATGTATATCTTAGTGATGAACCCGCTTGTACGATAACATGATATGTTTTTTTATTGTATGTAAGCTGTACACATTGTTGTTCAAATATTAAGCGTAAAGCTTTATTTTAGATGGTGAATGTTACTATGATATGATAATATGTGGTTGATTTTTTTAATTGATGGAATTGCCATTTTGCTTTCACGTAGATTGCGAGTTATTCTTTAATAGCATTCTTTCCTAGAGATGAAATTAATTGTCAACGAAAATGTTTTATACCCCTCCTTCACCCTGTAAAAATTACTGTCCGTTCGATGCACGTTTATTTTTTCTAATAAAGAAGTTGGTTGCCAGAAACTTGTGATGTATTGTAAGAATTTAAATTCAACTTTTCTTCTTTATTTGTAACATATCGGTAACAGCTGTACAGCTATATATGTAATTAGTATATATATATATAAAACTTACTGAAATTCTTAAAAAAAAACTTGTTTAAAACAGATTAAAGATATAAAGCGTTATAAATATTGCTTAAACTGAAATTATTTGAAGCGCGGCAACGAAGTTGTCCGTAAGTAATACATGCATCATGCATTTCTTTTTGTCAAAGTATAATGATTTGTCTCCATGATAGAATACATACATTCCTTATTTGTGTCTGTTTTTCATAACAGACCCCAAAATGACCTTTAGAATATGATATGAATTTTATATGAAAATTACGATATGTCGCAAAAGTATTCTTTTTTTCACATGGATATGTTTATAATAGATGCCATATATGGCTGTCACTTCGGCGTCTTGCAGTCTACATTGACAAGTATCTCGTTTGTTACACTGCGCTAATTAGCATTCTGTCGCAAATAAGGCATTAGAGTATAAATTTGCTATATCATTATAGATAAGTTATTCACCAGCAGGTTTTAGTGAAAGCATCTTAGCAAAATCTAAGGAATTCCGACACATCAGCAGATTGATACTGAGAGTGGATGTTAGTCAAGTTTTCCTTCGTATGGAGACGTCTTAATGTTTTCCTACACAAATCAATTTCACTGTAGACTATAGCGTACAGTCTTATATACTACAAAGTGATATGTGTAGTCACCATCAAACTTCAATTGTAAACAATTCTGATCGTTAGACAGACGGACCGTCATGTCAGTACGGAAAGAATTTGTTCAAATTCCTAGCAGGATTGGGTAGAATTGTGGAATCTACACAGGATCCATCCTACCTACAACATTCTGCCAAATTGCTAAGGTATTTATGTTTTTGTTCGTTTCAGACCACTGATATGATATACATCACCAGTTTAGAACCTTTTCTTCTGATAGAAATAATTACCTATACTTAACACTATTTGACGCGAGTCACATTATTTTTCATCAGTCACTTAATATTTCATCTGCGCTCTCTGTTTTTGTTTTTTTGTTTTGTTTTTATTAAACATTCCCTCTTCCTCGGAATATTCTTCACTCTTATCATTGAGTCAGATTATGTACCGGTTATCTTGGTACGTCGATCCATATTTAGAAAACAAAACACGGTTTAATCTGTTCAGAGAGACATAGTCGACAAAGCGGAAGACGCTCACCTTTGAGAAACACCTGGTTTTATCATTTTTGTATTTTTTCATGAGTCCACGTGAGAATCGTCCTTTTGTTCTAAGAATGCCATAGTTTCATCGAATTTTTGTTTGAATTAAGAATCTGTTGATATGTCGGTATTTTTTCTGTTGTTTTCAAGAGACTATTAAAAATGACAAAAACAAATCTACAGAGGAGTTTTCTCTTTATTTACACACAAGCTATTTGTCAGCTAAGTGTATAAAATTTCATCATTATTCTTATAATCCTCCATTTAAGCATTGAACTGCTTTCATTTGACGTTCATGGGCTTATGTTATTGTCAATACAAATGCATTATGGGTGTATGGTGACGTCATCATTATTTATCTGTTCCCCATAATGCATTCATGTTGACAATAAATACAATCTGACCGACATTCAATGGTTAAAAGCACGCTGATACATCTCGCTGAGAATCTCATCATTTATTCATTGTGTAATATCAGATTATACTCTTGTTTCTCGAAGAGGCACATATTTGTTAATACCTCTGATGAACAGATCTTTGAATGTAGCTTATAAATCACCAACAGACCTCAAATGAACTCCAAGGAACCTGTCGGATATCAGCAGACATGTTATCCGAGTTAAACCCCCTCGCTGTAGTGGTTGGTTTTGTGGGAATTCGGGGGAACCTCCACCATGTTTACAGATAGTATATACAAGGTGGTGATCACTACAGCGAAACCGAAAACACACCGGACTTCACAAGTCCAGTCTAGGTATAGATAGGGTCTATTGGGAAACTATACACATGATCTATAGTAGGAACTGTATATATGGTCTATGGAGGAACTATACCTATGGTCTATGGGGAACTATACATATGGTCTATGGGGGAACTATACCTATGGTCTATGGGGGAACTACATTGTATATGTATGGTCTATAGAGGAACTATACATATAGTCTATGGGGGACTATATATATGATCTATAGTAGGAACTATGTATATGGTCTATGGGGAAACATACACATGGTCTATGGGATACTCGATTCCTTAGTGTCGCGTGCTGATGTATTCTTTTGAACTTGTATTGTTACGTTCGTCAATATTAAGATTACCCAGCACAACAAAGTTTCTGTATCGGTGGAGAGTCTTTCTGTAACTGTAGTGGGGCAGATTGCTGAAACAATCTTTCACTTGGTGATGCAAGCACCATATTTGGCTCAAAAGTGCTTCAGAACCTACTCTCCTAGGGAAGTACGTTATCCACTTGAAAATACAAAATGGCCGCCAACTTTCAAGATGGCCGCCATTCGAAGCGGTTTTAAACGGTGTTTGAACTATATTTTGATTGATTTATCCTATTTTGATGGTCTATACATCGAAATATGTTTTTGAGTGTGAGAAATCCAATTCTGCATTTAGAAAATTTACTGAATATTATGACGATATGATGGGGATTACACGTTGTCAACATATAGGGTACGTACAAACAATGTGAAGGAAAAACTGATTTACTTGTGTGTTGTTTGACTCAGGAAACGACTTGCTGTTGATGTACAGCTTCGATAGGTTCTTCTTTTAGTCCTCACATTTGCAGGCACACAACTGTGTATACTTTAGGCTGAAGTGATACTAGTAGCATTTGAATCGCCCTCGGCATTCAGTCTTGCAGCCACATTTTGTCAACTGCTCACAAGTCGGAGCAATTGGTGGAAGGGTTGTCCAGAGAACTTGTCAGGTCTCACCATCTTTTTGCCAGCCCCAGTTGGTAAGGCTTTCAGTGTGCATTTTGTGAAGATTTTTAAAGTCTGACCTTTACAAATACTAGTTCCAAGCTGTCAATTGTATCACGGGTTTCAGCAGCTGACG